AATATAGAATCGAAGTCTACCAGGAAGGATGTCGAAAAAAATCAATCCGTCCTAATGTACGTATACATATAAAATTAGCGACAATAAGTACACAAATATGTACATAAATATAATTTAGCTTAACCCATATGCTATTCAACCGACAAATGAACGACAGTTTTATTGCTCAAACGATCGCATTTGCCGCAGACGAAGCGCATAAATCTGCTTACTTCGCTAACCAATTTGTGGCGGCATGGCGGATGAGCAACATTTGTCATGGCATTCAAGCGTATGAGACTTTTCGGTATCGTCTGATAAAAGAGTGAAGACGACAATGATGCTAATAGTGATGTATTTATGTATGTATTTATGTATGTATGTGCGTGAAAACGCATTTGCGTAAATTTATAGCTGTAGATAATTTGATATACTCGTACATATGTATATATGGATTTATAATTGTATATACTTACATATCGAGCGCTTATATTTAATACCCTCTATTCGCATTCTGCACAAAAACTACTTTGTCATGTTAGAACCCATTTGCGACTAACCTGTCATCTCTGATGTTAATTCCGATTTTGCAAATTTAGTAGTAAATTCTTCTGACAAGCGTTGGACAAGGTCAGCATTAATATCACCGATGACAGTTAAGACTTAAGTGGATTTTTATACCAGAATCTCATTTTTTGTGAAACGTGCAGAGAGAGGGTATTGGATATAAGCCCTCGATATGTACGAGGGTTGCATTGTGATAAGGATGGCGAATTTGCCTTTCAATTATGAAATATTTGCATCATCAACGTATTGTTGGCATGTGGCGTGACATAAACTTTTCTCATAAAACAAAACAAAAAGATTGCTAATGTGAAAAGGAAATTTTCAGAAAACTTAGTAAATTAAATAATACAAATAGACACAAATATCAAAACCTATATTACTTATCCCTTCCATAGTCGGGCCTAGGAAACTTAGACTTTCAACTTTTTACCATTCATCAAATTTGTTCATCGTTTGCTCGTTATGATGCTTTTCGAGTTCTTGGCTGTCTACCAATAGGCGGCATCAAGTTGTTTAGAGTGTCATTGTTGAGCAAGGTTCCATGTTTCTATGCGCATTTTGACAGTTATACTGGCACGTGCGGCATTCCAAACTTTGTTTGACAATTATAGCCGTAATCAAGCAGATGCTGCTGTGTATTTTGCAAGAAATATATCCAGTTAGAGGAGGAGATATTTGGCATGGAGAGATATATATATATATATATATGCATGCACGTGTGTGTGAAATGAGGGTAATTGCAGTAAGTGAATACTAACGCTGGTTTGAGATGTCTTAGCAAACTTTTACACTACTTGGTCCTTTAAATAAACTAAGCAAAATATCCCAGTTTCAAATGGAATTTACATACACTGTAAAGAATAATAATGTAATAAGAAACCTTGCTGGGTTTCAAACGCTTTACAGGGTGCAAAAGAAGCGTAATATAACGAGGTAACCCCAGATTTGGTGACAATCTTACTATTATAGGCCACGAGGTTGTCGAATCTAGCGACTCTCCTTAACCCCGGGTGCCCAATTGCATGGTTGGCAGTCGAGTGGTCCATTTTAACTACCGGAATGCTATATTTACAAATAATACATATTTAGGGGATTTCCTTAAACTCGAAAATGGCTCGAAAACCTCGAATAAACTTTTTCAGCCACGAAAAACAACTGTCAACAATTGTATGAAAGACGCTTTTCGCGTCGAAAGTTTTCGCGGCGAACTAGTCTGGGGCTTCTTAAAAAACAGCATTCTAATTTTTAGTTACAATAAGATGGAGCGACTGCGCATACTGCTAGGTAAACTATGGACCTAAGAACTATGGATGGTAGGTCTTATTTGTCCCCCCACCCTGTACATACAAACTCTCACTGAACTGCCAAATATCTGAAATTCGCCATTGTTTACTAGGTTGCAAAAAGGTGAAATCCCAAAAATAGCTTCGAAAACTTTCGAGGTTTTCAAATGCCCTGATTGTAGGTTCGGAATCCTGTTCGGCATAAAAAAAAGTTGGGTATCGCAAAGACGGTTCAGAAGGAGCCCCAAAAATGTTATCGTGGTAAAAGTATGAAAGGCGGGTCATTATATATATGTATGTAGATTGTTGGTTTTCTACATCTGGGGTGGACATAGAGCAACTCCTAAGGTTTTCTTTCAGAATGGCCACAGTAGGATCTAGATATTTAGGGGGAAAATATACAATTTTTTGATTATTAAATTTTCATATTTAAATGGTTTAGCCTAAGAAAATGATATTTGAATAAGAAAAGTTGATTATAATTTTGTAGGAAATTGGCAGTTTTATACAAAATACTAGCAACAAAAGTCAAAAGAAATTTATTCAACTAAAACTGATGGAGATTTTTGTTCACTTAAGCAATGCGATTTTCTTATAACTTTTGTTTTTGTTGTAGGTTCTTGTGAAAACACAGCACTTACTAATGAGAAAAAAAAAAACGAAAATTTATAAAATGCTAATTTTGAGACTTTTGATGGACCGAAATATTTTCCTTCGATTTCTGAACAAAAAAATCTGGCGCATATTTGCGACTTTTAGGGTAATCTCATATATGTAGTGATGATGGCATTTGTGGTATTTTTAAGGCATTTTTGGGGTTAAGTTGACATGGAAAGTATGCTTTAAAAAAAAAATCGGCCACGCAAAGTTTTCGTTTTTTTTTAAATCTTGATTTATGTCCATAAATGTTACATGTGGAAATTGAGGTTCTACGACGATTCCTTCTAATTTTTTTTCCAAAAAATTTATGAGGCTGTACCCATTGTGGGTATGGTGGAAGTTAGAACCAATAATCAAGCCTTTTGGAGTTCATAAAGCTACTCAATTACTACCCACACAGTATGGCTGCGAAGTGCTGTGAACGTTAGGACAGCTCACGGCCAATCAATCGGAGTGCGTGTACGCTTTTAGTCTGTATACGATCTCGGACAAGTTTCGCACCGATTTAATTTTTAGGCGACTAGGTAATACCAAACGAGCCCTATTCAAACAGTTCAAAAACGTGTACATTCATTCGAAGTGTATCTCCTTATTACATTGAACGCAAGCAGCACTTCAATGGGAAAATGCTACTTATCGATGTGTAGTAGGTAAAAAATGCCGGAAGTAATAGCTACGAAAATTTAGATTTTGATGAAACATGGTTTTTGAAATTTCATAAAATAACCTAAATGTGTCGACAGATCTGAAAAGAAACCTTGAATTTTCTATAGTCTTAGGAAATTTTTCATAAAAAAGATTCATGATAAAAACTTTATTTTAACGAGGTCCAGCTGTCGAATGCTTCTGAACTGAGATAAAATCTTTGGGCGGAGATCATTAAAAAATATTAAATTAGTACTTTTTAGTACCACGTAACAGGCCATGAGAGCAGAAGTGGCGTAACCCGCAATTTTTTTGATAGTTAACTTCTTACGATAGTTTCTAATGTCACAAGTTTTAAAATAAACGTCACCTTTTCTTTAATTTAAGGGTAAGCTATTTAGCTATGTACCTTAAAATTAAAGAATGAGCGACTTTTATTTTTAAATTCTTCGTTATTTAATTCATTATACAAAAAACAAATAATTTTGTGTTAGGCCACTTCTGCTCTCAGAAAGTAAAATTGAGTTGGTGGGTGAATGATGGTGGGTGATGGCTTTAAGGAGCTGAGCCACAAGGGACTCACCATCATTTGCGTGAAAGGTCTTCATGTGCGTTATTTTATATGCGCCTGTTTTTGCTTTAACATTTAATTCAAGAATTATTTTGCGTCAACTGATGTGCCGCCCTTAGCTAAAAATAAAAATTCACATCAATGAAAGTTTTAAAAAATATTAGATAAATTTGAAACTATAACAAGTTTACAGTAGCGTCATTTGCAAAAAGATTTCTTCAATTTAAAAAAAAAAAACGCCATTTGTAGCACAGCGAATCGTTTAACTGCCTTGGCTGAAGCAAAGACATTTAATGTTCGAGATGAACAAACAAACAGCGCACAGCTGTCGTATTTCATATTTCTGTTTTGCATTTCCATATAACACTTTTTCCGCGAATTTGCGGCTTGTTCTGATGGCAAGATTTTCTTACTACTTTGCTGCGACTCTCCTCTGCCACAACTGTTTCTCCGTTTCCAAGAATCAGCCAGCCAACAATGGCAACCGCTGGCATTAGTGCGACGCTATTGCAATTACGTATTATGAGAAATGTAAGCTTGTCGCCGCTGCTGCAGCAATGCAAAAAAATTCCACACAACTATGTATGTATGTAAGGAGCTTGTCTTCAAAGTTTTTCTTCGTTTTTATTTTTTGTTTTATGTTGCCGCGGTGACAACTGCTGTGACGTGAGTCATATGTATGCGACTTCCTTCTCAAATTAAATTCTTTTTCTTACATTGTGTACAACATATATGTTGCATTTGTACAGTGGAATGCATTGCCATTCGTTGTTTTTCTTTTGCCGTTTGCCTGCTTATGTCTTTGGCACTGTTTGTAGAGGACGCACATGCATCTTGCGTTTGCTAGAATTTATGTTAATTAAATATTGCGCATACGGCATGGTGTCCAGTGGCGCACGAGCTCACTTTCGCTGCGCTCCCAGTGAACTACACTTGGCTTACGATTAGTTGAGTATGTGTGTGTGCATATGTGTAACTTAATTCGCCATGCATAAAATACGACCACTTGTCTTTAGTCGAGTTGTGTGCGTTGCGTGCGCTCACTCGTTTATTGTTGCGCTGTACGTGACAAGTGATTTGGATGCATCACTGACTCACACGCTGCCTGGCGGTTGACTTCCCTTGACATCACATACGTTGCAAGCTGATTTTTTTGAAAAAAAAAAAAAAATCCCGCCTGATTTTTGATCAAAAACTTGGTATAGTTGCTAAGAAACTTGCACTTTTGTATAATTCAATATTTGTTTTTCCTTGATTATGTACAAACAAACTTTTTGCTTTCTTTTTTCACTCAGCTGGGTCTTTGGCGAATTTCTCTGCCACATGTATCAGTTCGTGCACTCGCTCAGCTACACTGCATCAATTTTCATACTTGTGGTCATATGCGTGGAACGTTACTTTGCGATTGTTCACCCGATTGCGTGCAAACAAATTTTAACTCCCGCCAGATTGAAGGTGAGTAATCAAACATTTTAGTATTTTTACATACCATTTTCATTTGGACTAATTGTAATTTTTGAGATTGAAATAAATTATCTTTGTTTGAAATAAACTGCCCAAATACTGAACACATTTAAATAATTTGAATTTCAAAACAGCTCACTTAAGCCAAAGAAGAATATAGGGCTATTATTTCCTGAAATTTTTTACCGACTTTAAAAAAGCAGGAAGCTTATCAATTCATCGGAATATTTTTTTTATGTATTTGGATCACGTGAACCGTTTCAATATTTTTCTAATGGCTTTGGTTTAGTTCCGATCATTTGTTCATAAAGAAATTAACGGTACTGCTGAATTTTTTAAACAGCATTGAAGTCAGTTGTGTTTTTGTTTGCTTAGAAATACTTTTTACAAAAAATATGCTTAAATTTCATCTGAAGTATTTCTAAAAATATTTACACTCACACCAAGAAGTATTGGAACAGAAAACTTTTCACACACATTTAATTTTTATTTTTTTCGCTAAAAATATGGTTCATACCACAACAATAAAAAAATAAAAAATACAATTTTTAAACTCAGGAAAATTCAATGAATTTTCATGAAAATTTTCAACTATTTAATCAGATTTTTTTTGAATAAGGCAGCTTTGTAGCCCATTAAAATTTAGTATAACAAAGTGCAAGTTTGATTACCGTTGATTTGTGTAATTTTCTTCACGCATTTTGTTCCATACACACAAATTAAAAACAAAAAAAAAAAAAAAACGATTCCCAAAAATTAACCAATTTAACTGAGTTTTGCACAATGCTTATTATATTTATATGTTTTTTTTTTGTTGTGGTAGTATAAACCATGTTTTTATAAAAAATTTAAGGAAAAATCTAAAACAAAACTGTTGACAACTCCTCTGTGGCCTCCTGTGGGCCTTTAAAAACCATTTACATTTTAAGCAAGGCATTTTTAACACAAGTAGATTTCGTGGAATTTTCTACATAAAAATTAAAATATCTTGTTATGAGAATTTACCAACAATATTGCGCAACGCGAATTCATACAGGTGGAGTCCGTTGGTATTTTCCCCTACACAACGGAACACAAAAGACGTAACATTTTGAATTTATTATTCTTCGAATGAGTGTAACGCCAAAAGGTACAGCATTTCAACTTAAATATGTACTTCAATTTTTCCAATTATTCAAGAGTTTTAGCAACATTTGACAAGTAAATTGAGATACAACAAATTTAAATGGATTTTTGAAAAAAAAAATTTTTTAATTCCATATGTATTAGGATTCAACTTTTTAACTTTGGAGCTAAAAGCACAATATTTCAGCTATTCTATTCGTCGTCTATATCTTCATAGAGTAGTTCAAAATTTGCTAAAAATTCGTTTTTTGATACCTTAAGTCTCAAATATCTAAAAAACTAGAGCCAATTGAATAAGTTGATTCTGGTAGAATTTCGTTGGACTGTCTACTGTATGGTTTTGGCAGTTTCCTAGATTTTTTTTTCAGCAATTTTCGCGATTTTTCTGGAACCATTAAGAATTTTTCGTGACCTTTGTGTTCAAATCCGAACTTTTCGGAAATTGTAGGTACAACGTAAAAGAAATATAAAAGGATTTTGTTTATCCCTTATCACATTTGGTTTGGAAAATTCATTTCGAAATATATCATACCCGATGGAAGCAGCAAAAGGCAAATAACGAAAAAAAAAACATACAAATAATAAATTAATAAATTATAATGCGTGTGAAAGTCAATTGTATAACATTTTTTGTTTTTCGCTTTTCGCCTGTCACTTACTCCTAATTAGATATTGGGCTCAACTGACTTTTTTATCCATCAGAATATTCCCCGTCATCAATAAAAGCAAATTGTATATCGAATAATATCCAGTCATTCCATTAATTTTGTATTAACAAAACACTTAGTTTTTACTAGCCCGATTAGCATAAACTTTTATAATGTCATTAAATAAATTTGCGATTAATTTTACATTCCACTTACCTTGTTTGGTGATTCGGTAAATATATAATGTATGCTCAATAAACAGCTTTTGCATTAAACCAGATAAATTTCCATCACTATTAATCGTAATTAATTGAAAATAGTGGAAAACCAATAATGCGCCCTGCCTGAAAAGACGCAGACATATTTACGATTATGTATTATTAATGTGCAAACAGTCTGGCAGCCAAGTGCCATCTACATAAATACAATGTATGGCTTGGTATAGGGTATCTAGTAAGTTTAAAAAGTTGGTGCATGAACTCAAAACTTAATTGAGATAGGTCAGATCAAAGAGGTTGCCTGCTTTCAGAAATGATTGAATGTCATACAACTGTGAATATGAATGCATAGCTAAAATATTTTAGTGGAATTCGGCCCTTAATCCAAGATAAAGACCCTTTTCAAGATTTTAAAAAATTCATATTCCATAAAATACTTTTTTCACTTGAGCTAAAAATAATTATTTTTCTTATTCCTTTTGCTCTTCGCATTACCATATTTAGCCGGTAACTATGGATGATGGATGTATGTAAACTTCTAACCGAAATGTGTTTATTTGTTTGTTTACATAAAGTCAGTCAATGCCGTAAGTGTAGTATTTGTATGTACATATTTGTGTATGCAACTGCGAAAGTTTTTCCATAAGCTTGAATAGACGCGCACACAATCTGCTGAGTTCGCAGACAAAAAACACTGGCCAATATGCTTTATTTTATGGGAGAACATACGTACTTATGTATCTGTACATATAATCATACAATGAACTTACACACATACATACATACATATACATAGTTGTGTATGCCGAGTATAGAATATTATTGATAAATGATTATATATTTATTTTTGTAACAAAACGGTTATCTAATACTATTAAACTACTGTTAGCTTTCACTTTTTTTTTGTCCAGGATATTAATAGCGCTTTTGAACTAAAAAAAAAAAACGTCTCTTAATTGAAGAAAAGCAGCAATCAAAATGAAGAAAAAGGGGAACGAAATTGCACTAAAGAAGTCTTATCCTCTTATCATGCCCAATATTTCTTCAAAATGATAGATTACATCCACGGTTGCATATTTTCGTGTACGTATTTATACATTCCAAATAAAAGCTACTCATTCGGGAGAATTTTCGACCTTAAAGTAAGGAAGGTTTTTCTTTCATCCAAAGATGGTTTTTTGGTTCAGTGTGGTAATGTCTCGCAAGATGTAATAGGCTTATTTTTTAATGCATAAAAAAGTCCTTAAAAAAAATATTAAAATTTCCAAAACAATAATTTGTTGAGATGGCAGTGCTACATGAGCAATTTTACGAAAAGTAGAAACTTCAATAAGCCCGGTTTAAGTCAAAAATCAAGGCGAATTTATATAAGGTGGTGTTACTAGATCAGCTGATTTTGTGTATGTGTTTCGCCGCACGGCTTCGAATGTCAAATTGGAAAATTTTGTTTGAATTTCCACACACACTCATACAGATTTTGCCAGTATATGCCGCCAAAGCAAAAACAAAATACATGCCAATGCTATCGCCTTATATTAATTCGCCTTGTCAAAAATTTTCAAAGTGAAATTATCTCTTTTTTTTTTTGTATCATGCTATTTATATAAAACCAATACCTTACATTTATTTCCAAACATTTGGAATTTATGGCTTCTTTTCAGTATATTTTTCAACATACACATAATCATTTATAGACAATTATTTATAGACTGATATAGATATAACAGTTTCAAATGGAAAATAATTTCAGTAGCACATTGTGGTAGCAGTAAATTAATTTTAATAGCAGCAATTGACTAAAGTTTGTTTTTCTGCAGATGAGGATGCTATTTTGTTTGTGTGAAAACAAATCACCCTATTGACGTTACAAGGCACCAAGAGAAAAATAAAATTGAAAAGTCGAACAAACGTAAAAATACATTGAATACATATATATATGCATACACACACACACACACTCGTTTTCCAACACGCATATACTGTGCATATACGCGTGCTATCATATATGTACACATATAACGTATGTAGTCTCATACAAATATACAGTGACTCAAACAAATGACCATGTGTTGATTTTTTTTTTAATCGTAATGCTTTTTCGAGCTAATCTTTTTTTCTATAAAAATAGCGTCCAAGCTATAACCCAAACCATATAAATCACAGTTTCAAACTTTATACGAAATTGAGGAAAACTCAAAAAATTTTCATCAAAATTTCAACTTTTTCATCTGAATTTTTAGAACATTCTTGCAGTTTTAGTCTAATGAAGTGCAAATTTCAAACGGCTAGCGCGTTGTTTTTTGAGATTTTTTTTTTTAAACTACTTTTTCGTTTTTTTTTTTTATATAACAAGTGCAATTTACAAAAACTGGCGTTGATTTTTTGAAATTTTATTACTAACGGTCCCCCGCGTTTTGTTACATAAGAAATTTAAGCTTATTTGGAAAAAAGTGCAAAAATCCTTCACAAAAAAACTTTTCAAAAATCAAAGCGCTTTTTAGCCGCTTGAAACTTGCACTTCATTAAACTAAAATTGTGGTGGCTGTAAAACTGCATACCCACAATGTTCTAAAGATTCAGTTGAAAAAGTTGAAATTTTGTTGAATTTTCCTGAATTTTGAACTGTGATTTATATGGTTTTGGTTAAAGCTTGGACGATATTTTGATAGAAAAATTACAAAAAAAATTTAGCTCGAAAAACATTGAGAATATTTAAAAAATCAACACGTGTTCATTTTTTTTGAGTCACTGAAAGCGCAAATGGCCAAACCCTGCAGAAAACAATTATCAATTGATAAAAAATAATCAGTTTTTTTGCGGGATTTCGATAAATAACTAATATTTAATTAGCTAAGACAAAACTAACTTTGAGTGAGTTGTAAAGTCGTGCAGGAGTCACGCAGACGTTAACGGGAGTTTGTTTTCTCTAAACAAGCTTCTATTTAAATATCCTCATACATAAACTAATTTGAATATACTTTTTTTCTGCACTTCGCAGATG